GTCCTTTGTTAACAAAAAGAATCCATATTTTTAATAATAATAATAATGGTCTTTATTCATGAATAATTAAGTTACACGTTAGCCAAAGCCAGAGGCTTATATGGCTACATAGATGGACAGCCAAATTTCCTGATTACTGATTACAGATTACAGTTATGGTAATAATTAGAAGAGAAGTGAACAATTATTAAATACAAAATACTGCGTACAAAATATCAAAGTGCAAAATGACAATAAAACAACAAAGAATATCAGTTGTTGGCTAATATAGTTAATAAGCTTGAGGCAAGTAGTAACCCTTCAAAATGCGCTTATAATTAAAAGATTTTAGCGAATATGAAGAGTATACGGAATTGAGTTCCAAATTTTTGGTCCTTGGGATCTGATTGAAAATGGTAATCAGATTAAATGTGAAATGAAGATTATGTTTTTGTCTAGTATTGTGATGATGCATTTCACTGTTTACAGTAAAAAGTGAAGCAATAGGTTGTGGCAAGGGGTTATTATTATGTTGAAAGATGAAGCAACTTACTTGATAACTAACATTTCAAATATATTTAATATTTTCATTTGATTAAATAAAGGACGAGATGGGTGCACGGTTAATTTATTCGCGTTACACCATTTATAGACATTATTAAGCTCAATATTTATAGTGGAAAACATCAGTTGACGGAATATCTCTCCCCCTGAGGAATATGTTGGTATCATCAGCAAAGAGTATGAAGGATAAGAGAGATAAAGAGTGTGATATATCATTAACATATATAAGAAATAGGAGAGGTCCAAGAATAGAGCCTTGAGGTACACCACAGTTAATAGGTTTATCTGTGGAGCAGACATTTTCAATTTCGACACATTGTCATCTATTTTCAAGGTAACCTGGGAACGAGGATGGTACTTTTACCGTATCATCCTCGGTCCCAGGGCCACACGGCTGACACTGCGTTGCCGGAGGCCCTGGCGAAAACCAAAACGAGAAGTGATTTGATTGGTCGCATGAAAACAATGGAATGCGGAAATTGAACACGAACTTTTACTAATAAATATGGCTGACAATATGAATAGATAGGAGTGTATTAACTCTTCAAAGAAGACGAAGAGTTGTTTTGGTTGTTGAAATCTGCTGTCTATCAATGGAAATTTTATTTTTAATATAAAAAATGTTGGATGTTGTGTCACAATGTATTAAAAAGCTGCACAAAATTGGACATTGGATTATTTAAAGATTGAAATCGCCGAAGCCGAAGGGACATTTTATAGTTTTATATACGAGATTTAATTATCGAAGGGACATTTTATAGTTTTATATACGAGACTGTACAGAGTATAAACAAAGACAGGCGAAAGGCTATGCGAGAAAAACTGTACCGTTAATTGTACAAATCTACAAAAATTGTGAGTGATGTCTTGCATCTTTCAATTACAAATGAGAAAATCGTGAATGAGTGTCTGTGTGGTTTTTAATAAAGCAAGAGGGGTCCATGCCATACATAATATTATATTAAATATAGTATATTATAAAATATAAATTATTTTATAATATACTATATTTAATAAACATACTTTGTTGATTTTATATCAATTTCATCAAAGGCTCTTAATTTATGTAAAAATATTGTATTTTATATCAAATGTATTTAATAATGAAATATTGTATTTTAATACTATTTAATAATGACAAAGTGATTAATATAATAGCTGGAAATGTTAGTTCTTCCACCTTGTTTTGCCTTAAATTTCATGCAATATATAGCTTAATTTATAGGCTATCAATGTTTTTTACAGTTGACAAATTATATTGTTAATAGTAATACTGCAACTTTGCTACACTGGTGATGAGCCTCCCAATTTTATGCTGTATATACATACATTCAGTATTAACTAATGAAACTGGGAAACTAACTGGGAAGCTAACTTCTGAATCTCTTACATGCAGTTGACATAATTTTTATAAATTATAGTGCTAGATTTCAAGGTTTAATTAGTCACCATAGGCACAGGAGGAAAGTTTTGAAATTTAAAATTGAGGAGCACTTCATGTCAACAGCACCAAATTTATAATTTGTAAACTTTTAAAGAGAAATTGGGCATGGCAGAGGCAGTGCAGGGATCAGGTATGGGGGGGGGCTGTAGCTCCCCTATGTGGAAATTCTAGCCCCTCCCCAATCAGGGAAGTGGAATGTACTGGGAAAAATTATGTTTTGTAATGACCTTGTTTTGTAGTCCTGGTAAATGCACTGTTACAGACAATAAATTCTGCACCATTTCATGAGAGCCAAAAAATTCAACATTTTCATGTGTGAGCATAAGTCGAACATACAAAACAATAATTTTACTGTTTGAAAGATTATAGCCCCCTGTTGGGAACCTGATATTCCTTGTTGGGGACTTGATATTCCTTGTCGGGGAACTCCTGAGCATCCGGCCTCCACACACAAGCACACTGGTACCCACACACCTCCATTTCCTACACCACTGCAAATTAAAACACAGCATGGATGCACCATAAAGCTGTTATTTATTTTTTACAGTATCTTTATTAACACACCAAATTTTCATAGAGGAAATTGTAAGAATAAATCATTATTTATATCAATGATACAAAATTGTTTATTTTGTTCATGAAATTTCTTTCTTTCTCTGAGTTGATGCAACTTCTTTCTCTGAGTTGATGAAGAAACAAACTTCCCACATACCAATCCTTTCATAGCAAGGCCTGAAATCCTTCCTAAAGTAGTAGTACAATGTTTATAAATTAAAACAATCTTTAGCCAAAAATTTTAGGCCAATCATAATTTAACAGCAACATGGATAATTTTATGATTGAAAACAATCTTTAGCCAAAAATTTTAGGCCAATCATAATTTAACAGCAACATGGATAATTAATGGCTGGCAAGAAAATACATATTTCAAGTCATATATATGTATTAAACTGTACAATATGATACTAGCTTGTAGTATGCAGTCACACATGATACCTTACAGGTAGTTGTATATCCTACAAACAATTGTTATCTGGGGATACCAAGATTAAGGTGGGGGTAGGGGTGAGGGGGGGGGTAGGTGGGATGCACATAATATTTCAGGTTTTTATGCTCATTGTCTCTGTCTAAATGCCGCATTTTACATGTGCCAAATCTAATGTGAACAAAAAATGGTTTGACTCAAATAATAAAGTTTGACTCAAATAATAAAGTTTGACATTTTGATTTAAATGTTGAATTTATGTACATACCGGTACGTAGTAAACATATGTAACTTATACATTTGTCCAAAGTGGCAAAGTAATTACTTTGCAATTATACCCACTCTCCCCTTGATGAGCAAAATTGTCTGACATTAGACAGTAAGATAGTAAAGTACAATAGATAATCTGATTAACCCATTGAGCAGTAGCACTCTCACATTAACCAGTACACTCAATCATCTGGCATGTTAAGCTGAGTAAAATAATTTGGTAGCACTTAAAAGGTTGAACAAACTTTTCTAGACTTGGCACATGTAAAATGCAGCGTTTAGACCGGACGTATTAAACAGAATATATGTTGTCTGTATGTGTACAGTCTTGCAGATATAAATATAGCAAAGAAAGAATATTGAGAAACAACCAAATATATCAGTATCACTCACTCACCATTCAGTAACAAGATTGGGCTTCGTCCACAACTATCGCTTTTAAATTGTCTGTATATTTCGTCGATTATAATAAAAATTCAAGAACTTTCATGTTCTCCAATTGATTGCTGTCCGTATACAATGACTCTCCCAAACTACACTTCGATTCATCAACTTGAACAGCTTTCATAATTGAAACATTTACATGATTCTTTAGTTTACTGATTTGGTCAATCATTAAAACATTTAATGGTGAAATAACCAGATCAAATTAATGTTTATTTTGCATGTAAAACATTATTTCTTTCGAGAAATTCTCAAAGTTCACTCCTTGCAAAAAAAGATGCAGAGTCAGCATTTTATTACGTTTACTTCCGGCAAACTACAAGATTTTTGAAGTTCCGGTTTTGGTTTTCGCCAGGGCCTCCGGCAACGCAGTGTCAGCCGTGAGGCCCTGGGACCGAGGATGGGAGTGAACGATTCCACGAAAACCATAAAAATGTAACTTATCCAGTAAAATACAGTGCGAACCACGATATTAGTTCACACGCAAATTGTCATAAAAATATATTGAATTTACAAAATATTGGCTGAAAACTCTACACAGCTGCTCAATTTATCAAATATAATACTATGAAAACTGTGAATCAAGTTTAATTAACGAAAGTATATAAAAAAAGGGTTTTATATATTATGTGCTTGTTTTTACTGAACCACGATATTAGTTATTAGAAAAACCACGTTGACAGCGTTCAAAACAAATAAAAAATACGTTATTGTCACAAATTTGTATTGATATTTCATTTTTTCAAATTTTTATAAATTCAAATACAGATTTTTAGAAATATACACGTTAATGAAGTTGGCAAACGTAACAATACAAATCATAGAAAAAGTTTATTTATTAAAATGGGCCCCGTGACGTTTGATGTCTTCAAAAAGTCTGTCATTCACTGAATCAGTCAGTTTTTTTGATGATGGACTTAGGGATAGTAGCTGCTCATTCTTTGATGGCCATCCACAGATCATCTTTTGATGAGTACTGCTTGCCATTCACACAAACACGACGCCTTATTATTGACCACAAGTTCTCTATCCGGTTCAAATCTGGTAAGTTTGGAGGCCAAACCATCAGGGTTTCATTTACAAATCCAAGTGAGTGAAGAAATTGCGTTGTTGCCTTTGCAGGTGGCCTATACTCACTTCTTGTAATTCATATGTATTCTGTAATTTCTAACTTTTTGTAATTTCTGAGTATTAATAAAAATTATTGTTGTTGTTGTTGTTGTTGTTGTTGTTGTTGTTGTTGTTGTTGTTGTTGTTGTTGTTGTTGTTGTTGTTGTTGTTGTTGTTGTTGTTGTTGCTGCATGGGACGGTGCATTATAAATTATCATGCATAAAGATAATATTCTTCAATGTTGCCAAAGGAAGGTTATCCAACCATGGCTCAAGGGAATTTTTCAGGAACTGGCAATACGTGGCTGAGGACAACTTTAGACCTTCAGGAACGCGGAAGGGACCAATGATAGCATTTCCAATGATTCCGCCCCAAATCATAACCCCACCACCACCTTGTTGACGCCTCATCCTGTTAGGACAATTACCACCATTGAAAACGCATCCTTTAGCCCAGCCATCAGGATCATCTAGTGACGCTCTCGACCCGTCAGTAAAACATGTCTGTCTTCATATACTTTCTTGACCATTCCATCCGCAAACGTTTGTGCTTAGGTGTCAAGGAAGACCTTTTAATCATAGTCTTCATGGAACATAGCTTCCCAAGAATACGATTTCAGGTGGTTTTTAGTACATCTGGCAAACCTGCTTCTTTAAAGATTCTTTTACTTGTTGATCCTGGCATTTAACGTAAGTCTCTTCTCAGGCGATACATATCCCGCGTTAACACTGATTTTCTAACGCCGCGATCAGAAGGAGGTTTCCTCTTTGAAGGATTTTGCAAAAATCTTGTCACTGTGACCACATGGAGATTTATTCTTTCAGCAAGTGATTTGGTTGTTTTGCCCGTTGCAATTTCCTTTATAATAGTGGCTTTCTCGGTCTTTCCTACGTCACATATTACCGGATGATTTATGATACTAATACCGTGGACCCCCTCTTTTATAGAGGAACCCCTGGATTTTGTAATTACGTGACTAATATGAAATGTTAAACATTGCAACGATGTTTCTACTATTTTTAAACAAAAAACATTTCACGTGTATTTATGTTTTACCCTCCTAATTCGACGACATAATGCCCAAATCTCATACATAACTAATATCGTGGTTCGCAGTGTAGAATGATCCACAGTTAATTTAAAGTCAATAAAAGTTCCAATTGTATAACCTCTAGTGTTGAAAGCTATAGAAATGTTGTCAATCAGATCTATTATGGCCATAGAAGTAGAATGATTTTTCCGAAATCCATATTGGTGATCAAATAATATGTTATTCTTATTAGTAAAATTTAAAAACCTATTGTGAAGTAACGTTTCAAGAATTTTAGAAAAACATGGTAGAATTGATATCGGTCTATAACTGATAAATTGACAGCGATCATCAGCCTTAAACACCGGAATCACTTTCGCCATTTTTAATTGATTAGGAACAATACCTGTTGAAATTGATTTATTAAAAATAGTCGAGAGAAGTAATGCTATTAAATCAATACAAGCTTTTAACTTTTCCCTAACATTAATATGAAAGTTTATGGTTCCTTGGATTTCAGTATAGTACTATAGTTTCTTTTAGATATTAGTAAGATAAAATGTTTTGTATGCACAATAACAAGTCTTTTACAGACTGATGTCTTGTGTTCAATTTCTTTCTACATATCTAAACGCGTGTTTGGGGGTTCTACAATTCTGCCGCTACGCGTTGTGTAGTAGTAGTTTTCTTGGGTGATCTTAGGGGACAGGATTTCGGGGTTGTCTAGTGTCTTTTCACCGGTTTCTTGATATCTTGTTCCATTGGATCTTGATGGCGTTCTCGTACTTGTGTTCGATTTCGTCTGATTTTTCCTCCTCCTTGTTTCGTAATAATGTAGGATCGGGGTACTTCTTGAATTTTATCTTTTATCTCTGTGTGTTTCCAGGTTTGCGTCCTTGGATCTTGGATGTTTACAGTATACTTTGACCAGGTTTTAATGGTTGGAGTGGTTTTGTAATAATCTGCTAGTCACCTCCTCAGTTGTTTTAGCTTGGATTGGTCTAACAAATAGGAGGTCAGTTTCGGATGGAAGAGTGTGTTGATTGGAGTTGCCCGTAAGCATAACAAAGCCATGAGTTGGTCTGTATTGGTTGCTCTTGCTTTTTTCATTGTCTTTTTCGTAGTCTTGACTTAGCTCTCAATAAATCCGTTGCTTCTGGGGTAGTGTGGCGAGCTTGTGATATGTTGGAAACGATATTGCTTTGCGAACTCTTTATATGCTTGTCCTTCAAAGTGGGGCCCATTATCGGATCTTACGATTTTGGGTATTCCTTGTTCGCTAAAAGTTTCTTTCGTTAAATTCGCGATTGTCCTACTGCTGCTCTTCCCTTTTGGTACTTCTCGCACGAACTGGTATGTTGAGTAGTAGTCAGCGATCAATAAGTATTCCGCGCCGTCTAGGTAAAATAAGTCCATGCCGATGGTATGTCATGGACCTGGCGGTATCTCTGTCTGGATAAGTGGCTCTTTGTGTTTGATGCTCTGCATTTCTTGACATGTATTGCACGATTTGCACGACTTCTCAATGTCACTGTTCATTCCTCTCTAGTAAACCGATGTTCGGGCTCTTAATTTAGTTTTGATTCGAACCCTTGATGACCTGCCTGAAGCTTCGTAAGTATCATGTTCTGCATGCTATGGGGGATGATAATACATTGGTCTTTCGATTCATTGCCTTACCATCTTCTGTGGTGATCTCATCACGAAATGTCCAATAGGGTTTGAGGATTTCTTGGACCTGCTTTATGTTCGTTGGCCATCCATTGTAAACCACATCATTTAATTCTTTAATCTCCGGATCCATGTCAGAGATGGGCTCTGTTTCCTGGAGCGAAAGTCTTGACAAGACATCTGCGATTTCCATATCTGCTCCTTGACGGTACTTGATTGTAAGGCTGTACGGCTGTAGGCGCAACAACATCCGTTGCAGGCGCAGTGGAGCTGATGTAAGGTGCTTAAGGTGGTTACCCTGCAACGGATGTTGTAGATTCAAGGGTTTATGGTCAGATTGGACTGTAAAACTGCGGACGTAGAGGTAAGTGTGGAATTTCTCGCATCCGTATACAACTGCTAAAAGTTCTCTTTCGATGTTTGCGGTGTCGTGATTCTACGTCAGTTAAAGCTTTACTGGAAAATGCGACTGGCTTGTCTTCTTGCAAGAGTGTAGCTCCCAGGCCTTTTGTTGATGCGTCAACTTGCAGTACTGTCTATTTATCTGGGTCAAAGTATATTGGTGTAACTTCTTCAGAAATTAAATTATTGATCCTGTCAAACACATCTTGTTGGCAAACTTGCACTCCTTCTTGAGTAGCTGTCGCAGTGAGGCGGTGTGGTGACTGAGATTCGGGATGAATGGTGCCATATAGGTGGCCAGACTCAAGAATGTCTGCATCGTTCTTTGCTGTTGGTCGGTGGGGCCATCTGCTTAAGGGCGGACACTTTGTCGGGTCTGGTTGAATTCCTTCTGGAGCGCAGATAAGCCCGTAAAACTTTACTTTTTCTTGCTTTATGTGGCATTTGTCAGGGTTCAGCCTCAGACCTGTGTCTTGGCACCGGCTCATCATACTGCGTAGATTTTGGTCATGCTCTTCTTCTGTTGTGCCAGAGGTAACAATAGCATCTGCGATACCCACAACGCCTCTACATCCTTCGAATGTTTGGTCGATCTTTGCTTGGAAGATGTCTTGTGACATGTTGAGCCCAAAGGGCATACGCTTGAAACGTACCTGCCAAATGGGGAGTTAAAGGTAGCTAAATAGCTTGATTCTTCGTCAAGAACAACATTCCAATAGCCACACTTTGCATCGTCCACTGAGAAGAACTTTGCTTTGTGTAATTTTGGTAAAATCTCTTCCAAGGTAGGAATGGCGTGATGTTCTCTTAAGATAGCTGTGTTTAGGTCTTTTGGGTCTAGACATAAACGCAATCGTCCATTTTGTTTCCTCTTGTAAACCAGACTGTTTACCCATCTTGTAGGCTCTCGTTTATTTTAGTTATGATGTCATTTGGAACCATCTTATCTAGTTCTTTCTTAATGTCATCTTTTAGACTGTTTGGAACTCGTCGTGGAGGGTGGATAACAGGTGGAACTGATGGGTCGGTGGTTATGTGGTATTTGCCTTCGAATTTTTCTATGCCATTAAAACAGTTTGGGTATTGATCTTTCAAATCTTCTTTGCTCTCTATTGGTTTGGGTATTGGTGGTTGCTCAGGGGTTCTTGTGGTGGACCATGGTGTGTTGCTGCGTAACAATTATGTTTCGCTCGCTACTCTGGTTTAAATAAATTATTACAAAGCCCAGTCGAATTGTAACCAAGACCCTACGTTTCGACACTCCAGTCTAGTGTCTTCATCAGGGGTGATCTAAAATTGCAATCGTGGCTTCTTAAGTACCCAAGGGATGACGCCACCTGCCAATGAGATGCATATATTCTTCTGGCAAATAGACACCGTCATCCCTATTCAAAGCATGATTACTCATATTTATATGCCACGCTTCTAGGCAAAGTCTTTGACCATAGCGATTGTTTGTGGTAATTACTTTAGAGTTTTCCCACGCAATCTCGTGTTTGCTGTAACATACATGTTCGGCTAAAGCTGATTTTCCCTTGTCTAATTTTCTGATTTTCGCGTTTCTATGGTTTACCGAAAATCCATAAACTGGAAATTCCATTGAAACCTATTGTGTCCTTTGTGAATTCTCCTACATATGGAATTCCAAATTTTTGTCGAAAATTTTGTCCCCTGTGGTGGGGAATACCGAAAACACTGTCAAAAATTCCTGTCATTTTGCAGAATTTGTAAGAGGTAAAACTCTTAAAGCAGATTAAGTGTTGGTATCATTTGATGTCGTTTCCTTGTTTACAAACATCCCAGTTGATCTTTCCATCAAGGCTGTGACAAAAAGACTAAGACAGGATGCCACTTTGTTACAAAGAACATCCTTGCCTGTAGAAGATTTTATTGATATTCTGTCTTTTTGTCTCAACACCACATACTTTGTGTTTGAGGGCTGTTATTATCAACAGATTTTTGGAACAGCGATGGGGTCACCAGTATCGGCAGTAATTGCTAATTTAGCAATGGAAGATGTCGAACAAAAAGCTTTACGCCTGTATTCAAAAAGCTCACTCACACTCACACTTGAGTGTGACTCGAATGAGATGCACTCAAGTAGGGTTGAAGTGTGAGTGAGAGTGGAGTATGAGTGTGAGTGTCCACTCAACGAGGGAGCACTCACTTTAGAAAATATTAGCTAGATTTGTATTCAAAGAGCTCACTCGAGTGTGACTTGCTGGAGTTTGGGTTTGATGTCGATGTAGAAGGTATATAAACTATAGTGAGACTGTTGTAGACTTCTCAATGCATTGTACGGGGTTGCTGAACAATATGGCTGAAGCTAGACAATATTTTTCGCAATTGGAAAAGTTGCTGTTAACTGAATTAGTGCCAAAATACAAAGATCTTCTAGAAAATAAAATGAATAATTAAAAGCCATACAACGTATATTAATTGCATTATATTGAATATGTTATTCATAATTTACGTAAAATGTTGCATTATCAGGGCTTGTCGTACCGCATTGCCCAAACGTCGGTTCATAATTTACGTAAAATGTTGCATTATCAGGGCTTGTCGTACCGCATTGCCCAAACGTCTACTTCCTCCTCATCGCGGCCAGAATATGTTCTGGTTCATATAGATATGAAGTTGAACAACACAGCTGTAACAACAATTATAGTTAGGGACGTTTGCAATTTTGTGCGAAGGGTTGTTCAAAGACATGGAAATAGCATTTTCCATACGCCAAACATCCTTTCCATGGTGTTTCGTATACGTACGCATTTGTGTTACATCAGTTATATCTGCGTTGCGGTAGTTTCCGGTTGGGTTTGCGATCAATTGCTGGTGTCATTAGATGTTGACGGCATGGATAACCGTTATCACCAAGTAATATACTCCGAATATCACCACGTTCAAACTGTGCACTGTATGCGACTATTGTCGAATATTCTGGCGTCATGTATGCTACCTGGCCAACGTGCAACAATGTTTAAAATATCTAAATTTGGCCCGCAAACAGCTTGGCGTCATGTATGCTACCTGGCCAGCGTGCAACAATGTTTAAAATATCTAAATTTGGCCCGCAAACATTCGCCAAAAATCAAGTTTGAGTTGATCCAAAATATCGCCCTCAGGAAATGTTATGTAATTGTTCCTTAAGCGCGGTGCGATTGCCTCGGATACTCGCTTTATAATTCGATTTGCTGATGGCTGCGAAATCTCACACAAATCTCCGCATGCTACATGGAATGTACCCGTGGCGTACAACCTTAGCGTCAACAAAAGTTGTATATCTGACCTAATGGGATTTCCTCAGTTTCCTCGCTCGTTGTGTGCAGATATTTTTGGTCTAATTATATCCAGTAACTCTCGAAATCCAGCCTTAGTTACCCGGTATCTGCATCAAAACTGCTCCTCGTCATATCTCCCATAATAGAAAATATATGGTCTCCTCCTGTCTCTGTTGTTTCTTGCGACATTGTCCAGTAATTCTAACCTTCTTAACCACCTTTCCGCAATATTTGAATCACTAAGCACAAGGTGAGTACTGAGTGGGGCTCGAGGGACGTCTACCTCTCACTCACACTTTACTCAAAATCGGAGCTTCACTTGAGTGTGAGTGGTGTCTTTGAATAGTTGGAGTGTGAGTGTCACATTATACTATGTGAGTGTGAGTGGACACTTATTGAGTGGTGAGTTGCACTCATTAAGAATGAGTGTCCACTCATTGAGTGTGAGTGTGAGTGAGCTTTTTGAATACAGGCGTTAGCCTCTGTTCCGGTATCTCTATCGTTTTGGAAACGTTTCGTCAATGATGTTATTCCTGCTTATCGCAAACCCACACACACAGACAAATACTTGTCATATGACTCTCATCACCCAGCGCTGCAAGCCGTAAAAGATCCGTAGCAAAAACTTTGCTTCAAAGAGTTGAATCCTTGCCGTCAAACAGTGATTCTCAAGCTAATAAACGTGAATATGTTCTAAATGTTTTAAGGGAAAACGATTACCCAAAACGTTTTCTTAATGATTTCCTAAGATCACCTGTTTGTAGGAACCAAAATAACTCCGAGGATGATACCTCTTTTAAGGGTTATACAATAGTTCCATGCATTCAAGGTGTCACAGAACCAATTAAGAGAATCTTAAGTAATGGTAATAATAAGGTTGCCTTAAAACCCTATTTGACTTTAGGCCATATTTCCGCAAAGCCAAAGGATCCTGTTAAAACAAATCAGAAAACTCATGCTGAATATTCTATACCATGTGGTGACTGCGAGAATGAGTATTTGGGTCAGTCTAAACGCCCGTTTGGTACACGGCTAAAAGAACATCAAAAGGCTGTTTCAACTATAGACATGGGAAAATCAGCTTTAGCCGAACATGTATGTTACACCAAACACGAGATTGCGTGGGAAAACTCTAAAGTAATTACCACAAACAATCGCTATGGCCAAAGACTTTGCCTAGAAGCGTGGCATATAAATATAATCATGCTTTGAATAGGGATGACGGTGCCTATTTGTCAGAGGAATTTTTTGCATCTCATTGGCAGGTGACGTCATCCCTTGGGTATTTAAGAAGCCACGATTGCAATTTTAGATTACCCCTGACGAAGACACTAGACTGGAGTTTCGAAACGTTGGGTCTTGGTAGCAATTCGACTGGGCTTTGTAATAATTTATTTAAACCAGAGTAGCGAGCGAAACATGATTGATATACCTGGATGCAGTGAACTAACAAACTTTAAATGTGTAACACTTGTTTGAGTATGGCGCAATTGAATTTCACAAGGTTGAGGTGTGATTTATTGACATTTATAGTTACATTGAAATAGATACTCGTAAATAGCAAGCCTGTTTGCAGGCTATTAGGCATGGACCTTCGGGCTTAATAACTAACTTGAAGACTAAGACTATTATTACCTCCGCGAGGAGGTTATGTAATCATCTGGGTTTGTATGTGTGTGTGTGTGTGTGTGTGTGTGTGTGTGTGTGTGTGTGTGTGTGTGTATGTGTGTGTGTATGTGTGTGTGTGTATGTGTGTGTGTGTGTATGTGTGTGTGTTTGTCTGTGAGCACGATAACTCAAGAAATACCAAACATATCCGTACGAAATTTTGTGAGTGCATTTCCCATCGGCTAAGGAAGAACTGATTAAAATTTGGTTGAATTTGGTTAAAAATTGAATGAGAAATAACAAAAGTTTGTCTTGCTTTTCCCAGTCAATTAAATAAAAC